AGGCTGAAAGAGTTGGGGCTGTTCAGCCTGGAGAAGAGAAGGCTCCGTGGAGATCTTATTGGGGCCTTCCAGTACCTAAAGGGGACCTACAGGAGAGCTGGGGAAGGACTTTTTACTAGGGCATGTGCGGCCTTCCAGTACTTAAAGGGGGCCCACAGGAGAGCTGGGGAAGGACTTTTTACACGGGCATGTAGTGATGTGATGAGGGGGAATGGCTTTAAACTGGAAGAGGGCAGGTTTAGATTAAACATTAGGATGAATTTTTCACTTTGAAGGTGGTAAGGCACTGGAACAGGTTGCCCAGAGAGGTTGTTGAGGCCCCATCCCTGGAGGTGTTTAAGGCCAGGGTGGACGTGGCCTTGGACAACTTGGTCTAGTGGGAGGTGTCCCTCTCTATGGCCGGGGGGTTGGAAATCGATGATCTTCAAGGTCCGTTCCAACCTCAACCATTCTATGATTCTATGATTTGTTGGGTTTTAGTTCTCACAAAGACTCATAGCTGATCATGACAGCACTTAACATCTACTTAACATCTACTGGTGCTTAAGACCCTCAGGTGAACAACTGTAGACTGTTACTGTGCTGTTACTTCTGTGTCTTGTGCTTGAACCTATTCGAGGATTTTCACCAAACAGCAGGTGAATAGAGGCATGCGGTTAGGTGTGATCATTACCTAGACTCCCACAGAGAGATTTTGTAGTTACTGGTGTCCTAATTTTTTGTTAGGTTTCACTTTTGTTGGTCTTCATCCCAGTGTTTGAGATGGACTATACCATAGTGAAATACTTCATGTTTTACTCCACTACAATGCCATTTTACTTTATATTTAACGCCACGTAACCTTAGCTACAGCCTCCAGTAATTCTTACAGGTTACGTCCTTCATGTCCCTTTGTAGGATGCAAAATTTGGTTTGGAACGGAGTCTTGCATCTTTCCATTCTTGAGGTCACTCCTAGATGCGATGGTCTCTGCCTTTTGAGGAAAGGTGAGACTTTCCTCCCTGAGTCAACTCCTGCTATCCCCTGCCTTCAATGCCTGGGCTGGTAGGGGGAAGTAGACCTCAGCTCCCTTGGCATGGTATCTCCCCACTGAGCCTAGAACAGCTGCGTTGCTTTTGATAATTCACTAGAAGGTCTGTAAAGCAGAAAATATAGAGTCAGATTTTTGGGTCTCCCGCCCCCAGACATGGCTGATATTCCTAGAGATTATGTAAATTGAAGGAAAAATATTTGTCTTGCAGGGAGGTAAAATTAATTTTAGAGTTGTGACTGCCAGCTCCAAGTTGGTATTGTGTGGTTGGAGAAACAGCTGCAAAACAAATCTCTACTGGCCAAACTTTCCTTCCACTGTAGCGGCTCTCCTGTGAATTATGGTGAGCCCAGCATTTCTCTAGCATGTTGCCTAAAGTGGCTTGAAGGTTGACCAAACTGAAGGTTGACCAAACTGCTGCTAAGGTGTTTTGCCGTGAGGAAGAAGGCAAAAGCAAATTCAAGGTAGTCTAGCTCTTCTTTCTTGCTGTGGGTTCTCCACCTTGGGTGCTGTGAACATTTTGCCAGTTGGTTGCACTGCAGCCATTTCCGACTGCACGGCTGTCGGTGTAAAAGCCTGCTCTGGAACTGAGCTGTGCAGCACCAGCACATATTGGTGCTACTGCAGGAGTAGGAAGCCCAAGAGCAAATCTGAAAGCAACCTCACCAAGCCTATGCTGCCATGAGCAGACCAAGCTCTGTGCTTGGTCAGGTGCGCTGCTTTCTGGTGCAGGAGTGGTCTGTTACAGTGCTGTATCTATGTGTTCGTAAGGACCTTAAAGCACTGCAGTTCCAAAACAACTTCTGTGTCATGTAGCTGTTACCTCCAGCGTCGCACCATTTTCCTCAGTCCTAACTGGTCTTTTTACTTCACCAGACATAAAAAATTCAGGCAGATAAGCATTCTCTTTTGAATATTCTCAAGCTTAAGTCGCAGGGCGCTAATAATCATTATACCAAGCTAAAACTAGTTAAGTTACTGAAGTGTCCTGGCTTGAGGTAAAACAGGACCAATTTTGTTCAGTAACTTTACTTTTTAGCTAGGCCTCTTCTAACTACTGAAGTTAACAGCATATTGTTCAGAAATTGTTTGCTCTCAGAGTGATAAGACCAATGTTGATAGCTGATGCCCAGGCATGGTATGCAGAGAGGCTCTTGCTTATACTTATTGCTGTAACACCCAAGGGCAGATAACTTGGTTATTTGTCCTGTTGGAGGGTCAGGAATGGAAAAGCATAGAGGTGTCCCACTTACGGTGAGGAGCAGACAGGACAGGTGACCCAAAACCGACCAACAGGGTATTCCATCCCATCTGCCTCATGCTCAGTATAAAAGCTGAGGGGTCAAAGGGTCAGCCCTCTTTCTTCATTGGCTGGTGTCCGAGGAGGACTCTCTCTGCTCGTCTGCCTTTGATCCCGATCATGAATCCAGATCTGGAATCCAGTTCCCATCTGTCACTGAGTCCAGTCTGGGACTTCCCCAGTGCCAACCAGTGACATGATTGTCATCCTGGGAGCTTGATATGGTTTTGTATATATTTCATTATTTCCTTTTTATTTTATTATTAATATTTCATTAAAGTAGTTTGGTTCGTTCTAAACTCTTAAGTCTTTCCTGCCTCTTTGAAGAGGTAGGGGAGAGCATCTGTTCTTTACCCAGGGACCGGTTCAGCCCAAACCATGACATGAAGGAATTTTTTTTTTTCCTAGATTAAAAAAAAGAAGGCACCATTCTGATCCTGGCCTCTGTTAATGTAGTAATCTTCCATGTTTTTTGAATGTATGTATGACCAATGTTAAAGGTGGTCTTTTGTTGATTTTGAGTTTTATGATTGCTCTTTTTGCACACTTCTTACACAATTCTTAAGGCAAAAAATTATTCATCCTAAAATTTATATAGTTTTCAGGATTTTCATGAACAATCTAATAATATGAATGTTTGTGATAAATAAGCAACATGAGAAGCATGGGAACATACCCATCAATACTGCTGCAAACAATGATCTAGGTCTTCCATATCGCTTGAGTGTATTCAGGGTTGGAGTTTGTGGATCTTTGCTGGTATTTTCCTTTGCACTACTCCTCGTGCTCCACAGGGGGGTAGCAAAAGGAAAGAGGAAATCTGTTAAAACTACTTCAGCGTATCCGTGTTTACACCATCTGGTGTGGGAAGCTTTCTCAGAGAGGTATTTGATGTGTAATGAAGACCACAGAGCCTTTGCTTGTTGAAACGAAATGCTTGATGAGCCAACTAACATAATGGTTGAACAAATGAGGTCTCTATGAATGTGAAAGTTAGAAAAAGCTAGAGTGAGAGACAGTTGGGTGGGTGTTGTGGAAGGTGGGTGTTGTACGTTGAAGTCTGGGGGTTTTACTTGAGAAATTTTCAGTCTTTAAAAATAATAAAAAATGGTGGACCTGTGCAGTAATAGCTCACACCAGAATGGTTCCAATTTTTTTCTGTCCATGATAAGCAACTCAGCCATGATGTGAATTCTTCAACTTAAAAGTGAGACAAACTTTGCAACAACTGGTCGGATTGGAGGAGGGGGGAAAAAAGCAGTAGCATATTATCTGTGTGTGATAAACGGAGACATTATTTTTAAATGCCATTACTAAGCTTGAGGTTGTGAAGGGCTTGACAGTACCTGTTCCATCCAAAGAGCTAGAAGTTTTCTGAAATCAAGAGAAAACTTGATTGAAAATGGAATTGTCCCTAGAAAGACAAAACCAAGATATTTTGCAATGATGAACTAGAAACAAGAACATTCAGATGCATTTTTCTGTAGCTGGAGTGTGAAATCATAGTTGAGTTTAGTCTCAGTTAGATTATATGTTTCAAATTACCTTTTTTTCCTTTCCCCTTTTTAAAAAAGAACTACAACAGATGAGCAATGAGCAAAACCAAGAAATTGATGATTACTAAAGCATGACAGATAGGTGGTAATTATGAGTCACTTCATGCTTCTTCACTACAAATTATATCAAAACACAGCATAGGACTTTTAGCCTGATTTCTTAAGGAAATAAAATATGTTTTATTTAAGTGGCCCTTTGCTTTGCCCTCTCTTTTCCCTTTCCATTCTGCTTTGAAACTTAAGTCAGTTTCATAAAAAATTGGGGGAAAAGTACTTGAAAAGACTTCATTAAAAAAGCAAGAGTCTGTTGAGTTTCTACTTAGGGAAAGGCTGTAAGTTGAGTAAAACCTGACACCAGTGTGCCTATACAGGAGACAATTAGTGACCCAGCTGCAGGCAAAGTTTGAATGAGCACTTACACCTTCTTAGATACCAGAGGACCTAATTGTAAATATGCAAAGAAACCCATCAGTGCTCACAGCAGGTTAAATTGTCAGCAGATTGTTTTTATTTCACCTGCGAAGATGCTGTTGAGCTGACCCACCTTTCAGAAGCTGTGCAGAGACTACTTGCAGAAATGGTGAAGTTCTTAGGTCTTGGCAAGTCAACACAAAAACCTAATTTTTTGAAAAAAGGTTTTCATTTTTTTGTATGTATAATACTATATAGTAATGCCTGGTATTCAATGTGGTGGTTATGTATAGCAGTGTTTTTCTCCATGTAAGCAAGAAGCCTTTGTTATAATATGATTTATATAGGTATTTCTCATTCATTAGAGGCATTCCCAAATAACAACATTCATTTTTGTATTGGGAATAAACGATGAACTGGCACATCTTTATGCGTGTTCCATAGCTTTTTTTTTTATTTGGTATGTTTAAAGAGGAGAATAATAGTGTAAGAAATTGGCAAGTTAAATATAGTCGTTTAAAATCCATCATTTGAAATTTCCTTTGTGGGGAAAACTGTGTCAGGAATATTACGTTTTCTTGATCTGTAGTTTAGCCACCTCTTGAGTAGAAAATACATTTTTTAGCTGCCTAGTTAGTTTTTCAGACATGCTGTTAAATGGAGTGTAATCTCAAGAAGACTAATACGTGCTTTTCTGTCTAAGATTGGAATTATTGGTGGAACTGGCCTGGATGATCCAGATATCTTAGAAGGAAGAACAGAAAAATATGTTGATACTCCTTATGGCAAGGTCTGTATAACCTGTTTGTCTTTTTTTTACTGAGACTTTTTGCGTTTTTTAAATACGTTTGTATGCTTTAAGAATTTTCAGACTGTTATATGAATGCATAAAGGAGGTAATGTCACAAGACCATTTTTAGTTGCTATGTATTGTGTGATTCCTAGTTTGTAGAAACAAGGTGTTACAAAGATGATCTGCAAAGGAGACTATACCTCTTCTCATTTGTACATTGGATGAATTTGCAAACTCTGTCCTGAACTTGCAGTCAAGAGGGATAAAGCCTTTCTTTCAAATCTGTGCTGTTGTGTGCCCTGTATTATATGTCCAGTTGCTCCAGGAACCTTTCTGAATTGCAGAAAACTGTCCTTTGAGGTATATGGGCCACCATTTTCCCCTGTAACCACTGAATTATGCTTTACATACCAATGCTGTCATTACAGTCATGCTTATAACCACATAATTTGAAAATGAAGCACTGAAACTGTTTTTGTGGCACAGGTATTCTTGACCAACTCGCCTTCACATTGCTTCAGCCCTTTTCCTCAGCAAAAGGCAGTGGAGGCTGGTGGTGTTCCTCTATACACAGTGCCAAGCGTGTTTTGAGGGACAATTCCTGCCCCAAAGCACTAACAGTAGAAACAGGCAAGACAAAGGATGAGAGACTTTTACTCGCAGGAAGTCAAGGGGCAGAGGGGTTCGTAGTGTCATAAGACCAGGGGGGTCTGGATGCTTTGTAATTGCCATCAGAATTATATCTTATGAAATCTACCACTGTCAATTAGTATACATACAGTAAAACATCTGGCATGTGGTAGCAAGAACCATTTTGTGGGTAGAAGCTTGCCAGAAAGCTCAGCGCTGTGGTGTGTGATTGAAAATCTGAATCCGTGCCTCCATTCAGAATGGTTTAACAGAGAAGTAAGAGTGTAAAGCACAAGCAGAGTTTCTGTGTGCACCAGTCAAGAAGGGGGAGGAGATAAAGATTGAGGGAGGAGACAACATAACCAGAAAAATACATTTGACTTCTCCATCATCTTTCGAAATCTGTTAACAAACTGCAAGAGAGTGGAGGGAACTCACCTCCTCCTTTTTCTGTACACTGCTCTCCAAACAGTAGCCAGCGTTGGTCTGAAGTAGAGTCCATTGGCTAAACCAAACCAGTTGTCACTGCATTCTGTATTTTTTGAGAGTCATGGACGATCGCAGCTTGGCTGTGCCTGGAGACTCCTCACAAAGCAAAAATAGCGCTATGCTGTAGTAGATACTAACTGAAACCTTTGTGTGCAGGAAGGACGAAACACTCTTCTCCCTCACAGGGGTCTGCTCACATCAGAGTTAAGGGCACAGTGGCAGCACAGCATTTGGAGGGCTGTTCTGTCACAGCGCTGAGATGCAACAGGATTTGGATGGCCCACATTCTGCAGTGCAGTAGGTTGCCTACAGCAGGGTTTAGTTTTTACGGAGAAGAGTAGTAGTATCTGCAGGATGGCTCCTGCACAAAGACGTGGAAGAGGCTTCCTCAGTCCTGCACTTTTGGTCAGTATGGAAGGCTTTTTAAATTTCATTTAGGAAGCAGCTTAGCTACTGTCTTTTTCGGTGTTCTTCACAGAATGCAACATGAATAGGGGAAAACAAATCTTGGTTGCCTGTTGTGGTTTGTGAGAAACCTTGATCAATGGACTGGCTGTGGCTGAGCTTGTCTATTATGCGTTTAGTGTAGGCTCAATTTAAAGGAAAAGCTTCTGAATATTCTGTCTTGGTGTATGGGATGGTGATATAACTGAGATGTCACCATAGGAACCCAAGCATGGATTCTAGATAATGTGGTGAGCTGAACTGGGACTGTTAAGCTGACTTGGATGGAAAACAGCAACTTTGTGGGACTTCTGTATGTGTGACAGCTAGCACAGCCCAACTGAGCTTTTGTCCTTGCCCCTCCTGACCTGTCTCTCTTCTCTCTACTTTATGCTTATTTGTGTTGCAGACAAAGGGGACTTAATTCAATTTTTTGTTACTATCATAATTTAGGGTTAACTGCTCAGGTTTCTTTGCTTCCTTTTCTGTTTTGCAACACTGAGTAATATATATCTGACTTGGATTTTGTGGAAGGGGGAAGTAGTTACATACATATATGAATTATTAATGTTTGAGATCTTTTTATTTGGCCTTTTAATAAATTCTGCTTTAAAAATACCGTATTAGAGCTGTAAATCCGGATTGTTCCATTGGAAATTTTCATTATTTTATCAGCATTTCAAAGCTCCTGACTACAGTTGAGATAATAGTAGAGAGGTACAGCACTGGAAAGAATTTGTGGGAGAAAGAGAGCAGAACAGAAGCATTCACTAGCTCTGTTACATGGTTAACACATAGTTGGAAATTTCTGTATCTTTCACTTCCTTGTAACTCTACACATGCTAATTTATCTTTATTTCCTCTCTTTTAATGACCCATCATGCAGTATCTGCAAATTCTTTTCTTAAATGGTCAGTTCATCATTTAGCAGTGCATTCTTTGTTCCAAATCTTTCTTTTTCTCTGCCACGTTTCTAGTAATCATGTGCAAGAAAGGTATTCAGGCAGTCATCTAGAAGATGCCCTGAGTGCGTTCTATGGAAATCTGTGTAAAGATGACAACCGGTCCTGTTACACAGCCACCGTGAAGCCTTTTGAAGTTACTAGGATGGTGGCAGATAGGGAAGGAAACCCTGGTTGCTGCAACTAGATTTTGAAGCCTGTTGAATTTCAAAGCTGCTGCATTCTTGCTGCATCAGCAGTGTATGCCAGAATTCAGTGGAGTTCTGTGGTGGAGATGAATATCAAATAGCGGTTAAATTGCACCTTTGTACCCCAGGTCTTTTGGAAATTGATATAAACTTGAATCTGTCACTTGTAAAGCAAAGAGTCCAGTCTTCAACTTACTGATCTTTACTTTTGATTTTGATAGTCCTCTTTAGTCCTCTTTAGTTTTTAAGAGTATTTTTGTATCTTGCTCTGAGCTAAGTTGCATGCTTATTACTTCACACAGCAAATGTGTGCACTCTAAACAAAAAAAGCCCAAAAAACAAAACCCCAAATGTTAATTATTGTGAACCTTCATTGTTATGGAATGTTGCAAAATCAAAATGAAACTAGACAGCAAGGCTTTCACCTTGTGTGAAATTTTACTCTTAAAACTGTATCTGGTTCAGAAGAGTAAATGTAAAGTAAGGTAAGTAGATTAAACATTTAAGTGTCAATAGGTTAATATTAAATGGAGACTTTTTAAAAGACGTCAGAATGCAATACAGTTCTAAAAATTAAATTTTGGGAACATTCCCGTAAAAAAAAAAAAGTGGTAAATCTGTGCCTGGCATAATTTAAACCTAGGTTATTCAGTATATTATTGTGCTTTGAAGAGATTTCCCATTAAAAATGATGAAAAAGCTGTGCAATAGGGAGTAGAAAGTGGTGATTTTATTAGAAATCAGTATCTCTAAAATGTAGCTGTGTGGGACTCACATATTGCTTTATTCTAGAGCTCTGCAAATTTTCAGGTTTGTAATAGAATTAACAGCTGTAAAACTAAATGCTAATTGAAATCTTGCAGCTAGCATTAAAATACAAATGAAATTACATCAAGTAGCAGGCAACAGAACATTTCTAAATGCAAATGTGTGAGTCCTTCCAGACACTTGCAAACTTGTGATCAGTAAATAAATCGTAATTTTATTAATAACTATTTCAGCTTTAAATCCCAGGGCATGGGAGGAGAGATTGGCAGAGTGGCTTCCAGCTTATTTAGTTTCTTCTACACTGCAATAAAAAGTGAAACACCTGCAGTTCTGTATTGGGCAGGAGAAACAGCACATCCAACTGCACTGCTGTTCAGCACAAATGCAGTTCAGCGTCTAATTAAACAGAGGCCTTGCATTTTTTTTAATAAAAAGGGAAGCTAGAAGCATTGTGTAATTCAGATCCCTGATGCATATAGCCTGGGAGCAGAACACAGCGCACAGAGCAGTTAATTTGTTGTAGGAGCAGTTGATAACTTAAGGGACCGTCCTGTGTGGGCAATAGACCATCTCCAAGGCAGAGCACGTGTCGTAGCTGGGCAGCTAAAACCAAAATGCTCTGGCTTGCTGGCTGGTTGGTTAGTCAGGAGGAAAGCACGTTCTTGTTGTGTAGCTGTGAGAGGAGAGTGCATGTTGCCTCCTGGTCCCTGGGCCGACCAAATACAGCACTGCTTCTGCTATTAGTGTACCAGCCATTCTCTGTCGTATCACAGTTCACTTCCCAAAAGCGGGATTCCCAGCAGCAGGCAAGAGGGAGTTTATCAGGAAGCTGATTGGGGAGTAAAGGGTGGTTGCGGGAGTCTCGGACGTGAGTATGAGCTAGGGGGCCATGGTAGAAAGGGGACAGAGAAGTGAATGGGGAGTGTTATGGAGAGAGACAGATTAAATGTTATTTCTGTTGGGAGGGGGCTTCCAGTAGGGAATGGCACCTGCTTATCAAAAAGCAACCGAAGTTTACAGGAAAGAATGAGACCTGCTAGCCAATTTAAAGGCAACATGTACATGCTTTTTTTCATGTTTGTGTAGCACTGTTTGAAATACTGTTTCAAAGTTTTAAAAGTATTACTGTTTCAAACCCTAAAGTAAGGAGTTGCAGTATTAATGTTGCTATGAGCACAGAAAAATTGGGATAATCTGTCTTCCTGTTCCAGACTGTTTTACTAATCTGCCATATCAAATTACAGAGCTGAGATGAAGAAAATGTGAGTCTACAGCAGTAACCAGTATTTCCTTTTCTTACTATCCTCCTTATTTTTAAGTAGCTGTTAAGGTTTCTAATGTGATTGTCAGACTGTAACTGATTCTTATTTGCTTGTTTTGCAGCCATCAGATGCTTTGATATTGGGAAAGATAAAAAATGTGGACTGTGTGCTGTTGGCAAGGTAAATGAGCATTTTAAAGGGTTTTATATTATGTGTCTTAAAGTTTTCTCAAAAGTTTTTTCTTTTTACGTTAGGTGAACTGAATTTTTGCTCTGACTTCATCTTGCTCTGTGTGGTTGCTAGCAAAGTCCCAACAGAAGTCTGGGGTTTTTCCCTGAACAAATTTGATGATGAGAGTATTAAAAATACCACCTGGGTTAGGAAAGCGAAATCCAGTGTGGGGTGCTGCCCTAGTAAGAATGGCAGCCTGCAGGGCTGCTTGCTCAGGTGGTAGGTACATAGTGCCTGATGACCTCAGTAATCTGTCTGCTCCCTGTGTTTGCAAATTTCTTTTGTGAAACTGGGAAATTGCCTGTTTCCAGATGAACTGTATTTCTAGTACCGCTGTAGACTCTTCCAAATCATCCCCTTTGGTTATTGACTCGCCTGGTTCTTGCCTTTATTGCTTAGGAGGCTGCATCCCCTGTAGTTCTCCTTCCTTAGTTCATTTGTATTCAGACATCTCTTACCATACTCAAAGGGACTCTGGAAGCAGGATCTGCAGATGAGTGCGTGGAAATCTCACACTAATGTAACTGTGGATATCTAGGACAAATCTGCTACTAGATTAAACATAAGAATATTAACCCAGTTCTGTGCATCTGGACAGCATGGGCAGAACCAAGTGCTGATAACAGGGGTCATCAGCAGTCACAGACAAGTTGAGGTGATGAATGAAGTCCAGGATCCATCCAGGGAGTCCAGGCAGGAGCAGTAGGAGATGGGGCTAGAGACAGGGTTGGAGACAAGGCTGCAGTGTGTGTCTGAACTCTACCAGAAAACAGGTCTGGAGACAAACTGCAGCATAGGTCTGAAGGCCATCCAGGAGACAAGGCTGGGGACAGGCACACCTGTGACATGGCTCAAGCCAGGAGTGAAGGCTGGGGCCTGCGCTTGGACAAGAGAGGACCTCAGCTCACAGGCACCAGGGATTTGAGTGGAGGCCCAGGGTGAGGCTGACCAGGGCAATTAAGACCCAGTGGTGCACTCAGGGCCTCCAATTCTTTTCATGCCAGTATTTTTCTGTTAAGTTGCTGACTGTTACCATCTCTGCAGCTACACTTCTGTCTGTGGTTTTACTTTTCTTATCTTGCCTGGACTTTGCTCGTGTATTTCATTACACCTGGACAACATTTTTCTCATTTTCTCAAACAAAATGCTAAGCCAAGATCTCATATCAGAAGTGCTGTATCAAAGTAGGCCTTGGGCTACAGATGGCTGAACAACTCACCTGTAGTTTGTATCCTCACTGGGATTTATGACTGTTCCCATACGACCCTCATGAGTTTACTTTTGGGAATATGGTGCCTGCAACTTCATTTTATGTTTTAGGAAAAGTAAAGAGTTGCTCGCGAACGCCAGATTTAAAAAAAAAAAAAAAAAAAGGCGTGTATATTCTAGAAGAGGATTATGACAACTGCAGCGTTAAACAATGAATCTACAGATGTAGTAGCTTATCAGAACAGCTAATGACAACATGGGAATCCTGCCTGACAGTGCTTGGTCATGTTGTGTGCAGCTCCCAGTTCCAAATTGATCAAGTCATTGAGACCTTTTGGTCCCTGCAAAAGAATCAGTTAGGAAATTAAGTTCCTTCTTTCCTCTTACATGGTTGAAAATAATTTTCAAATGTGTTGAAATCATTATGTGAGTGATGTACCTCTGGAGTGATGACAAAGATAACAAAAAAGCTTGTGCTTATAACAATACGTATTTCCTGTCTTGCTGAAAAAATAAACTGCAACAGTGCGAAGTCATTCTTCTAATTTATGAAAGCTGTCAGGTCATTTTAAAAGCAAAGAGAAAACTGTGATGATTACACTGTTTTCTTTGAGAAAGTGACAGATTAAAACTGTATTCTTTGTTTTTAATTTCCTGTCATCATAGAAGCATAGAATGGTTTAGGTTGGAAGGGACCTTGAAGATCATCTAATTCCAATCCCCCTGCCATAGGCAGGGCACCCTTCCAATACATCAGGTTGCTCTCTTAACCTGCTGGCCACACTTCTGATGCAGCCCAGCATATGGTTGGCCTTCTGGGCTGCAATCACACGTTGCCAGCTCGTGTTCAGCTTCCCATCAATCAGCACACCCAGGTCCTTCTCCTCAGGGCTGCTCTCCAGCCA